CATAGCATGTGTATTTTTCTTTACGCTTTTATTCATTAAAAGCTCTGTCTGATTTATCTTTTCCAATAACGATCCCTACGACGTAAGTATCATTATACCATCTCTCTTTTTTCTTTGTAGTTCTATTTTTGCAAGACACTTCATAGTTAAGAAACGTGTAACTTCTGTAATTAAGTGTTTAAATATCAAGGAAGGTTGATAAATTGGTTTCCTAAAAGTTAGAACTCACGGGACGGTGATTGGAAGAAGTGAGTTCGATTTTTCCCACTTTTAATGGACTGTTTTGTAATCCATTTGTTCTAGCCTATTTTATTGCTGATTTATGGAGTTTGGAAGGATAAAAAGGCGTGGAAAAATTCCACATGTGGTAGGGTAGTAGGTTAGTTGCTCGTTGTTGTATTTTCAGGCTAATTGATAAGTTGTTGATTGGGTGTGTTATGGTATATTTGAGGGTTTTGTTGTATTGAAGGTTCCAAATTGTAATTAGGTTGGTTTTGAGTTTCTTCTTGTATTGTGTTTGTATCTCACCTATAGTAGGCTTGAGGGAGCAGTAAAAAATGCTGCTCGTTTTATTTTAAATTATGTTATCGTTTGAGATACATAATACACTAGCGTCATCTAAGTCGTACATGTATTTCTTTGTTATAGGGTTGGTGCTCTAGTTATCATAATCTTGTTGTGGAGTTGCATAGACAACTTGAGGTATGTTAAGTCTATCCTCAATTCCTTTTTGGCATGATCCATATGATACAACCAAATGAGCAAGCACATAACTTTCACAAATGATTCTATTCTTAGAAGTACTAGAGTTGCCTATGTTCTGGATTCCCCATATGTTCTACTATCATATCATTTGTTCATGGGTCTCATGACATTTCGAGAGATCTTATTGACTTACTTCATTATGAATTGCATCCATTNGTTTGTTCATGGGTCTCATGACATTTCGAGAGAGGTTCTACCATATACTACCATATACTATTGATCAGATGATTGATTTTAGGCAATGGGAACGAATCATTAGGGCACGCCTTATTTAAGTCTTTATAATCTACGCACATTCTTAACTTATTTACCTTTTTTGGGAACTACCACTACGTTGGTCAGCCATTCGGGGTACTTTACCTCTCTAATGGGCCTTATTTTAAGGAGTTTCATTACCTCATCCTTGATTAATACGTGTTTTACTTCGGATTGGGTCTTCTTTTTGGCTTCACTGGTTTGAACCTGGGGTCGATACTTAGTCGATGGTTGGTTATTTTCGGCGGGATTCTTGTCATATCTAAGTGGGACCAAGCAAAACAGTCGATGTTATTAATAAGGAATTGAATGAGTTTTTTTCCTGAGTTTGGGGGCTAATCCCATCCCCAGGTATACCTTTCGATCTGGGAGATGTTCGATCAAAACAGCTTGCTCCAACTCTTCAATTGTCGATTTCATTGCATCCGACTCTTCGGGGGCAACGAAAGTTCGAGGAGCTAGGAAATCTTCTTCATCACCCTCGGGGGTCTATACGCTTCCCGACACATCCGAGATATAGTGAATAGGATTCGGCACCTCCTGGTAAACCTCAAACATTTCTTTTGCCACATGTTGTTCTCCATATACTGTTGTTATACCATCCTTTGTTGGAAACTTCATCACCTGGTGTAGAGTTGACGGCACTGCCCTCATGCTGTGTATCCACGACCTGCCAAGCAATGCGTTGTACCTCATGTCACTATCGATGATGTGGAGCTTGGTGTTCTGAACTGTACCGGACATGTCAACCGAGAGGGAGATCTCCCCTTTCGTTACTTCATTGGCCATGTTGAAGCCGTGGAGGACCCGAGAGGTCAGTATGATCTGATCAAGCAACCCGAGTTGTTTTACTACCTTTGACATGTACGTTGTCCGAGCTACTTGGATCCACGAGCACACGTTTAATTAGAATGTTACTTAAAAGAAATAAAATTACCAGTGCGTCGTTGTGCGGTTGCGCCAAGGTCTCGATGTTTTCCTTACTGAATTCAAGGGTGTCTTCGGTCATGCAGTCTCGGATCGGCCCTTCTACTGCAGCGGATATTTTTACCCGTTTGATCATGGGTCCTTGGGGAATTTCGGTCCACCCGATGATCATATGAATGACATATTAAGGAATCTCTCTTTTTTCCCAGGTTGGAGTTTCCCGAATTTCCCGCTGAATCTTTCGACGTGCTCTCTTGTTAATGTGAGGACCAGCGTT